TAAACAGAGGATCTTCTTTGCTATACAAATGGGAAAAATCTTTAAAAAGTAGTTTCCAGGGTAATCAATTGAAACAAGAAAAGCTTACCTGGAGAAGAGCAAATCACTCTCAACCAGCTCAGTATAAATGTGTATAATTATATGGAGTAGAGAAGTGGCAAATAGCATTTATTTATCAGATGGAGCAGCGCCAAGTCAAAGCAGAGATGTATATTTTCAAGGGAAGGTACAGGGGCAATTATGGCAGGTGATGGCAGTCTGCTGAAAGCAATGGTATTTGATTTGGACGCAATCAAAATCAGCCTAAATATTCAAGTGGGAAGGAAAGAACCTGGTCTCTCTCAAGAATTTAGGGAAGACAATCTGAAGCTTTCCTGAACCTTCTCTCAGTAGTCCCCAAAATTCAGCTTGAGCAGTCAGGGTCCTTGTTACATACTGCCAGCTCATGGAGTCAAGGATTAGCCGTCATTGATCTTGGCATCCTGATCGTGGAGGCTTCCACCAACAGGGAAGAACTGGTAGCAAATCCCAAGGAGGAAGGCAATTTGAGTCAAAGAGATCATGGTAGATGTCATGATTCTAAGGAAAGAATGAAAGCAGCAGAATCAGGAAAATGGTCTTCAAAATGCGGATTTTTACAAACTTAGAGAAATGGTATGTAAGATTTAGTGGGAAGAAATTCAGTTCAGGAGAGCTGGGAGTTTCTCAAGGAGGCAATATTAAAGGCACAACTGTAGACTATCCTAATGCAAAGGGAAGATAGGGCAAATAGGAAGAGGGCAGTGTGTTTTCATCAGGAGCTCCTTAATGACATGAAAATAGGAATCCTACAAAAAATGGAAACATGAATGAGTTAAGGAGAAGTACAAAAGAACAGTGTGAGCCCCTATGGAATAATCAGGCTAAGGCACAAAATGAGTCACGCCTAGCAAAGGACATAAAAAGCAATAAGAAGAGGTCCTGTTAGTACATTAGGAGTAAAAGAAAGATGAAGCAAAATATAAGTCTCCTACTACATTAGAAAGCTAAGGTGTTTAATGCCTATTTTACTTCAGCCTTCTCTAATAAGGTTAATAGTGACCAGATACTTAATACAGTTAACATTAATAAGTCTGAATTGTGAAAGACCAGGTCAAAGAATGTTTAGGCAAGTTAAATGGATTCATGTCAGGAGGGCTTGATTAAATTCACACTGAAGTACTTAAGGAACTAATTCACGGAGCATGAGTGAAATTTCGGAAGATGATTGAGGTTTCAGAGATTTGGCAAAGAGCAAGGAAAGTTCCTATCTTTAGAAAGGGAAACAAAGGGGACTTGAGCAATTTATAGACCAGTCAACCTATCACTAATACATGGAATGATACTGGAACAAATGATCACACATGCCATTTATAAGCACCTAATGGATGACAAGGCTATAAGGATTAGTCAGCATGGACTTTTTTCAAGAACAAATCATGCCAAAACAACCTAATTTCCCACCTTGACAAGGTTACTAGCTTCGTGGATGGGTGGGGGGGTGGAGGAAAAGTAGATGACAGATTTTCATCTTGATTTTTAGTAAGATTTTTGACAGACTTCCACATGACATTCCCATAAGGAAACTAGGGAAATACAGTCTGGGTGAAATTGTTCAGTGGGTGTACAAAAGAGTAGTTATCAGTGCTGCAGTATCAGGCTGGGAGGGGTCTTGCAAGAGTCAGTCCAGGGTCTGGTACTAGTAAATATTTTCATGAACAACTTGGAAAATGGAGTGGAGAGTATACTTAACTGGTTGACTCTAAGTTGAGTGGTTACAGACACTCTGAGTGATAGTATTAGAATTCAAAATGACCTTGACAAATTGGAGACTTGATCTGAAATCAATAGAGTGAAATTCAAGAAAGAAAAGTGCAAAATACTTCACTTAAGAAGGAAAAATCAGAAGCATAACAAAATGGGGAATAAGTGGCTAGGTAGCTGTAGCTCTGGAAAAGAGCCAGGAGATAGAGAATCACAAATTGAATATGAGTCAACAGTGTAATGCAGTTTCACAACAGTACACTCCAGAATAACAGGAGTGTTGTATGTAAGACATAGAAGCTAATTATCTCTCTCCATTTAGCACTGGGAAAGCCTCACGGGGAAGATGGTGTCCAATTCTGAGTGCTGCACTTTAGGAGAGCGGTCAGATTGGAAAGAACCTGTAGGAAAGCAACAAAAATGATAAAAGGTTCAGAAAGCCTGACCTATGGGGAAAGATTAAACCAACTGGGCATATTTAGCCTTGAGAAAAGAACACTGCTGTAAGTCTTTAAATACATTAAGGCGTGTTATAAAGAGGACTGTGATCAGTTGTTCTACGTGTTTGCCAAAGGTAGGACAAGAAGCAAGGACGTTAATCTGCAGCAAGACAGATTTAGAGTTAGATATTAGGAAAAACTGTCTGTTAGGGTAGTGACGCTCAGAAATAGGCTTTCAAAGAGGTTGTGGAGGTTTTAAAAACAGGTTGATCATGAATGGTCTAGCTTATTTTGTTCTGGCTCAGTACAGGGAGCTGGATATGATGACATCTTCCAGCCCTACATTTCTATGAGTGTATGAGTTAATAGAAAAACAGTATAACAAAGACTGATACAACACTAATTCATGAATTTTCAGCATTAGGGGGCCCCATTCTGAAGCTCTGAGAGCCCATTTGACTTCAGATGATAAAAGGTGTGGCTCAAACATATGAATGAATTAGGTGAAATTCTTCCTAATCTAGAGCAAAAATTAGCTTTTAGTTTTATTGAAGTAATAATAACTTACACTTCTGTTGCAATTGTGATCCTAGGCTCTTACTGTGCTTCACAAACAAACCATTTAAAGCTCCCAGACCCTTTGTAAGATCAGTACATAATATTATACCTGTTATGCACATGGAGAAATTGAGGCATGAATGGTAAAGTGATTTGGTCAGGATCTCATGACCAGTCAGTGACAGAGCTAAGAATAAAACTCACATACATAAGACTGTTCTTCCTTATTTATTATGGTACATAAAACCATGGCTACTAGCCAGAATGCTAAGTGTCTGACACACATTTAGCAATAAAAAAGTAATAAAAAGAAAATTAAGGTAGTCTGAAACAAACTCTCTTATCAAAGTACAGTACAGTGAAATCTGTCTTAAACAGCGATGGAAGAAACCAATAAAAATCAACTTTCTAGTGTAGCTGGCCTTTAAAAGTTGAAAAGCAAATGTTCTGAAACCTGTTTGAATGTTATTATATATGTTTCTCTAGACCAGGTTGCATGTAGGAACTAGATTTTAAGCAGCTTTTGCTGTGTAGGTTGTATTTCAGCGGATAAATTAGTCTCTGTCTGCTTTCTAAGATGTTAAGTAATGCTACAGTAAGCAACCATCACTTGACTATATTCATGTCCATCAGACAAAGCGATTGATTATTTTCATTTGTTTGGTATAATAGAAATTTCATTGTTACAGGACTTTAGTGCTGGAGACAAGTTATCCTTTCCCATCTCTGGGTATATCTAGACTACATTGTTTTTGCAAAAAAATTGCCCTTTTTTCGGAAAAACTTCACCAGCGTCCACACTCTAATCACAATCTTTCGAAATTAAATTGGAAGAATGCAGGGTTTTTTTTTTTTTTTTTTTTTTTTCAACATTGGTAAACCTCAAATTACAAGGAAGAATGCCTTTTTAAAAAGAGCTCTTTCGAAAAAAGGCACGTGTGGATGCAGAATAGGGACATTTTTCGAAAGAAGAGGCAATTGAAAAAAAGCATGGGTGCCCTGGTGGCCATTCTGTGAATAGCAGTCCAGGCTTTCTTTCGCGAGAGCGCGTCCATGCAGTCTGGACGCTCTCTTTCAAAAAAGCAGATAGCTTTTTTGATCCAGTTTTGAGGTGTGGATGCTCTCTTTCGAAAGAAGCTTGCAGTCTAGGCGTACCCATCCGTGTCTTACCTGTGCTGCTAACAAAGAAAACTTGTTAAGTTCATATAGGTGTGCTGCACATCAAATTAGTATGAATGGTAATGAGATTTGGGCAGGATTACATGAAATATATCCGGTAACCTGCCAGGTAACATCACCTGTTTGTGGATTTGCAACAAAAGCCCTAATGTGTCGTGCTGTGTAGTAGAAAAACAGCCTTAGAAATGGTTATGGTTGAGTTTACATACAGCTGTAGCGATCAGATTTTCCTGCATACACCAGGTTTTTGTATTTCCGCTTTCTCTTCTGAAAAATGAAGTTTGTAACCGTTCATACCATAATGAACACGTGGTGGCATAATTATGAGTTAATGGTGGCATAATATGATTTGTTAAATGTAGCCTCCCTAAAGGAAAAGCAACGTAGTGTCTGTATTCCTTGTTTTTAAGTCAAGAGGTGCTGCCAAAGATTCATGAAGAAAAACACTACCCGTGTGCACTGGTGGGGACTTGGAACACGTGGTACGGAGAGCAAGATCAGGCTGGTAGGAGATAGAAGTACAACAGAATGTAAAACCATACAAATGACATGTGTGCTTGGCAGGTTTCTTTTTAAATCATCACTGTTGTTCACAAACCTTTAACAGTGTACTTGAGGGTATGTGTGCTGTTACATAAAATAATTGGTGAATAATTGTTAACTTTAAAATTGCATATTGACCTTGACACTGAAGTGTTGGTTCATAAAATGTACTTGTTCAAGCAATACTATCTAATCCTCTCTTTTAATCATATTTGTATACTTATGTTAATACACTTTAATCTCTTATCAATGAGAGGGCAACACTACATGGTAAGCCAGCCCCTTCCTCTTATTCCTGCATTTTTTTGTTCCTGCATACATTTTCTGCCTGCATTATTTTGTAGGCACAAATCAAACTTCTGAACATTTAGGCTTAAAGGCCATAGTTAAAGGTGGACTGAGACAGGATTTAGCTTATGTTAGCCAGTTTGGAAGCTTAACTCTGACTTTCCGTGTCCTATTGTAATAGTTACATGACAGTGCCCTGCATCACACTGAAGTTATCACAACATGTAATGGAACTTTTGTCTCCCAATAAATTGATACCCTAGATCAGTGGTTCCCAGCCACCAGTTCATGGACCAGTGTCAAGCCACGAACTGCTGCCTGCCAGGCCATAGTACACTACAGAGCTGGCACGAGCCAGGACTGCTTAGTCCCAGTTTGCACCGGCCCCAAGAGCTACCCCTGCTGAATGCCGCAGCAGGGGTAGCTCCCGGGGCAGCAGCAGAACCAGTGAGCCCCGGCCGGGCAGGACAGCAGTAGGACCAGCAAGTCCGTGCAAGGCAGCAGCGGCATTGGTGAGCCCCGGCTGGGCAGGCAGCACAGGTTAGGGAACTACATCCCCAGGAAACCCCAGCAGGTCAGAGCCCAAGTCCAAGCCATGCAGGCTGGAGCCTGGGGGCAGGGGGACCGGAGTGGAGCCAGTCTCAGAGATGGGGCGTGTCCTGGGAGGCCAGTGGCAAGGACTTCCCCTCATCCAGGAAATTCCCTCATTTGGGTCTGGTCAGATCCCAAGGGTGCTGGACAAGGGAGGCCCAAACTGATTAAACAAGATTTTAAACCCTAATCTCTGTTGGAGGGAAGGTTACGTTTGTGGGTCTTTGAGGGAAGATGGAAGAAAAGAGGATGGAAATGGGAGGAAATGTATTTTAGCATGGCTATTTAAAAAATGCATAACGATGGCTTGTTACACAAACCACTTAAAAGCATGGTCAAATTTAGGTCAAAATATGTACCCACTTTGAAATTATTTGATGGGGAAAGTCCTGATTTTTAATACCTTAAAGGGTATGGGTCTCTCTTGGTGTACTTTTGAAGGTTGCTTCTTCTCACTGAACAATTAAAAATTAACAGTAACATCATCTTTATATATCTGTCCCACAAGTGCTACTGCTGTGCTACTGAAGCTGGGCAACAAGTCTTTGGCATAAGACACTGCGTTAAGTTGAAGCCCCATTTTAATCATAGTCGCAGAAAAGCATCTCACAGAAGTATTCTGTAGTAACAGGGCCCTTCAGAAATCTTTATACGTTCTTGCCTTTAGGCTTGGGCAGTGAGTGGACAGCCAGCTGGAGAAAGCAAGGCCCAACCCTGCCCTTCCTGCAACTTGCTTCTGGCCCAAAGCCAAGCCTGGCTCCCACAGCAGTGGCCAGCCCCCACCCAGATTACTGCTTCCCCCAGCCCCTGAACATCCCCAGACCCTGAGTATCACCTGTCCTAGAAACTGGTGCAGCGCCCCCCTTCCTGGCCAGCCAAAGCGCCTAGCAGATGGAGACCTGAGCAGCTGTACCAGAGCCCAGTCCTTCCCAGCCAGCCATACCACAGCCCCAGCCTTTTTCAGCCAGCTGGAGAGCCAGGCAGCCATGCCACAGCCCCAGCTCTCGAGAGTGGCTGAAGAGAGCCCCAGCCCTCCCAAGCAGCAGGAGCATGGGCAGTTTTGAGAAGGCAATGCCTTCCCTTGCCTACGTTATCAGCTGCCTATGCCTTTAGGGTTAATCATCTGTTGCTAGAATAGCAGAAGCCCCTTGGAAAAGCAAATGGCTCCACTATATTGCTCTGAAAATGTATTTTGAGCATGCTAGCCAGCTTTTGCTTTTGTGTCATTCTGTAGTGTTAATGGCCTTGTTTATATTATGGTGTTTCATGTCTTTTGCCAGAAATACCCAAGCCTCTAAAAAAGGTGTATTTCTATTTCAGTACATCTCTGGCGGTATGAGGGAGGCTATCCAGCTCTTACTGAGGTCATGAATAAACTCCGACAGAATAAAGTAAGTCTGAACTGAGGCTACGTTTTAAACCGGGGTGGGAAACCTCAGGCCCAGGGGCTGGATGTTGCCCCCAGTTTGCCTGGATCTGGCCCCTGAGGCTCAGCACTGGGGAGCCTGCACTGGTGCTTCAGCCCTCAGCCCCCCATCTGCAGGGCTGGAGCACACAAAATCTACTAGCCTGGGCCCCACCTAAGCTCTGGTGTGCGAGGGGAATGTGGGGATTGTCTTTCTCCTTCTCAGTCAGGGGCTTCTCACTTTGCTTCTCACTGGTGTGCGGTCCCCGACTAATTTTTCTGTGGGTCAGCGGCCTCCGACCCAAAAGAGACTCCCCACCCCTCTTTTAAACTTTGGCTAGAAATAAGTGTCACTAGGAAACAGAGTCTATCATCAGTCAGAGCAAAATACTAGAAGTTTGGACTCCTGTAGTCTATTTCTTGCTGTCAGACTAACTGTGTGACCTTGGCCAAGTCACTCCATCTTTCTATGCCGCATTGTAGCTCTCTGTACAAAGAGGCTCACACACCTCTCGAGCTGAGGTTGAAGGCATTAAAGTTTATATAACATTTTGAGTTCCCCAGATGGAAAAATGTTGTAGAGGTGCAAAGTGGTGTCTGTAATTTATATTCTGCTATTGCGAATTGTCTGTGATTCTCGGCTCCTTTGTCAGCGCTCCTCCATGAGAGGGTTCTCTAGCCAGCCATGTCCCTCGCCCCATATTACCTCACACAGTGCTTCTCTTTACTTTGTTCTCTTGCTTTGTCTTTTTTGTCCTCCTGTCTTTCTCCTTCTGCTCTTCAACATAATTTTTGCAAACACTGTTCCTCTCCCTTCTCCATTTGCCCTCTTACTTGATGGTCACATGCTGGGGCTTGGTGGTATTTGCTGGTCCCCAGGCTGTACTTCACACAGCGGGAGCAGAAAAGAAGTTTAAACTGACAGGCTTCTGTGTGAGCCTTCAGCACTGTACTGTACTGCCACAGCCTGTGATCTTAGATGCTGTGTGGAAGCACGGAAGTATGTCAGCTAGCTTTTAATGAGTCACCTGTATGTTAGTTCTGTATGTGGATTTGGTAGATCTGGAGTCCTGCAACTTTCTTCATCTATTAGTTGGGATTGGTCCTGCCTAGAGCAGGGGGCTGGACTTGATGACCTTCTGAGGTCTCTTCCAGCTCTATGGTTCTATGATTCTCTCCTCTGCCCTACACGCCCACTTCAACTAGCCTAGCACCATCCCGGGTGGAAAAACAATCAATTACATTGTTCAGGAGATCGTCAGCGGCCATTCATAATACAACACAATCTAACTGTATTAGTTAAAACAGTATTATCATTAATAAAACATTACCACTCAGTACAGCCTCTGTAGAAAATAGCCCCACTGGATTTTACTTACTCAGTGTGGCATTATTTAACCAGCTCAAACCCAGACTGCACAGTACAAAAATTGTTTATATAGACTGTGATATGTAAACACACTGGCTGATATTTTCAAATCTGCCTTCGGAATTTGGATAGTATTAAATGTAACAGGAACTGGGTGCACAGGTCCCCAAGGTGGTTTTACAAGTTTTATAGACATGCAGAATTTGTTAATATAATATATTAAAGTTTGATTGTTACTTTTAAGGAATTCACAGAGTTTCGCAAAGAAAGAGGTAACATGCTTCTCTCTCGCAAGAACCAGCTTCTGTTGGAGTTTAGTTTTTGGAATGAACCTGTTCCCAGAGAGGGCCCTAATATTTATGAACTGAGATCATATCAACTTAGAGTAAGTGTCGAATATATTTTTCTTTTATGAATGATTAAAAATTGAAAATACTCAACACACATGTGAGTTACTGGCTTCAATATAGATTGAATCCAGTTATAAAAGCTGGATCCTGTAAGTGCTGGCCAGTTTCGGAGAAGTGCTGCACACCCTTGCCGCTCATTGACTTCAAAGGAAGCATGTGCACACTCATGCAAGAGACTGGAAAAGACTAGAATTTCTTTATCGTGTAGTTGCAAATGAATATGCAGTCAGAAAGCACTTAAAGGAATCACTGTATTTGACAAATGTCTTTTTTTTTTTTTTCAAATGGAAATGCTGAGAATGGAAACCTGTAACATTAATGACTGAATTCTCAATGTTGTATTCTCCTAACAAGTATGTGCAAGATCAGAGCAGCTCACCTAATGCATCACTGACATTTGTGGCTATGTCAATATCTTGTTTAAAACCATTTCGGTTCCCCCTTGTCAGTAGTGCACCATAAGCACTACAATAATACAAATAATTGCTTATGATAATGGATCTCAATAGTACTTAGCTCATGCCATAGTATTTTTCATTTTTCTTCATTTTATTTAAAAAATACTCCTTCAGACTAGTGAAAATTAAACCGTGCTTAGTTTGTCTTTATAAACAGAAAAGACATGCTCAAATATATTTCTGTTGGGAGCACTATTGAAAAGCGGCATTAAAACTAGCAGGCAGGAGTGGGGATTTGGGTAGCTGGCATGGTCTGTCAAGCCTGAAAAACTGTTCTAAAAACATTTTAATAGACAAATCTCAATTTTACGTTTTATATTCAAAGACCCTGCAGAGGCAGCATGCACAGCGTCTCAGGGAAAGAAGTATGTTCTGTCACTCAAGGACTCCTTCAGTTGGTTCATGTGGCCTGTTATCAGACTCAGAATGGGAGCCCTGTAAAGCTTAACTTGGTCAGAAAATTGACCATAACGTGGTCCTCAGATCAAGCAGCAGGCATAAAAATGTCAGTTTGTGAAATATGGAGGGAAGCCACTCTCCTGCCCCCTTTTATATTTTTGCTTCATGTAAAATAAATACATTTTTGTCAGATCTACAGGCAGACTTATGAATGGGTTACGTTCTGAACACCTGGTCGTAACTCCATTTGGTCGTAAGTCGGAAATACCCTTAAATGCACTGCCCGCGCTGTTGGAAAAATTTGACGTACATGGTTCTCAGCTCGAAAATATTATAATGGGGTTAATGGGAGGTTGGTCGTACGTATGGATGGTCGTAAAGTTGATGTGTTCGTAAGTCGGGGAGTGGCTGGATTTTCAAAAATATGCAACTGAAGAGTACCAATGTTCTAGTATTCTTTAAAATACTAAACCTGAAACAGCTTCTATCCTTTTCTTTCAGCCTGGAACAATGATTGAATGGGGCAACTACTGGTAAGTGTGTGTCACTGTGTTGTGTGCAGTAATTTGTTTATTAATTACATTTCATAGTTTCAAACCATGTAGGGTAGAGATGGTAGAATAATGCCCCATCCCTCCAAATACACAAAGTTTATGGGCTGCTCCTAGTCCTACATAGCTCTGGCAAACTCATTCTTTTAGCTTGTCTTTCTGGGAAAGAAAGGGAGTGCTTCCATGAGCAATGCTGGGAGCTCTCTTATTTACTGTCATTTTAACAGCCAATCAAGGTGCTGGTCTCTACTTTTTTCATTTTATCCATCATTTATTCTTTGAGAGCTAGTGCAACCTATCATGCCCCTTTGGCCACCTTTCCTCTTTTAGGAGGCCAACATGACTGCATCATTCTTTTGAGAAGTAAATAATACTTAACATTATTTCTATTATGTTATTCATCCATCGAACATTTAAATATTAATCTTCAAAACAACTCGGTTAGGAAAGGAAGAGTATTACCCTGATAAAGCCTCTGAGGCGCTGATCGGGGAAGGAACTTTTCCAAGGCCACCTACTGAGCCGATGTCAGAGCCAAGATTAAAACGCTATTGTTTTGCTTGCTGTTCTGTGTCCAGTCTACTTTCCCAGTCAGTCTCTGCAGAGACAGCTCCGATGTAACTGACTTGGTGCCTGATCCTGTTGCATCGAAATTAACAGGAATTTTGCTGTTGACTTCAGTAAGAGCAGGCTCAAACTCTTAGCAAGAGCAGACATCTGCAGAAGTGATACCATGACTTTGCTAATATCTCTGCTCTACTGGCACTGTGTTCCTTTCACAGCTACAAAATGAACTCCTGTCATCCACCACTAAAAACCTCGCCCATTCTGTTGTTCATCTCTACCAGCTAAACTCTTTTGCCAGTCCTGCTCACATTTGTCCATGGTACTGTGATCAAAACAAATAGACCTATACACAAAGAGACTGTATGTTTTCATATTTCCTTTTTTCCTGAGAACTTCTTTCAGGACACCTAAAATGTTCCAAATTTTCACTTCCTCTATCAAAATGTTCAAGTTTCTTATTGTTACAAAATGTTCAAAATATACAAAATCGCATATAGCATAATGTCCCTGCTTTGTCCTTTCCCTAGTGAGTGTGCAGCAGTTGTTCAAAACCAAAGTTTGTTATAACTCGTTATACCAGTGTTGCAGTAATAGGCCCAATGATCCAGTTTACTTAGTGCAAACCCTCTGTTCTGACCCCTTAGGAGATTGTGGGGATAGGTAAAGTGATGGATAGGTGTGTGTGTCTCTTTTTCCTCTACAATTGCCAGACTAGCATAGAGGAGGGAAAATAGGTGTGGTGGGATATGGGTAAGAGCCTTTCTTTGATCTTTTCTGTTGCACCAGACTGCGCTCTTCCAACTTTGGTGGTACAGATCAAAGAAAGGCACCAAAAGGGCGGAGGACTTGAGTATTTCATTATCAGAAAAAAGTGGCTGCAAAAACATGCTTGTTTTTTTTTTTTTTAATTTCACCATTGGCTAACTCCCCTAAGTTAGCTTGACTACCTTATGGCTTGACTAGTACACAGTTACATACAAAACAAGATATGTGGTTAGGTGGTGGTAGTTTTAATTTACAAGGGATGATTTTTTTTCTTCTCCCAAAAATTAAGGTATCTCAAGTTTCCAGTAATTAGTTTGTGTTCCTGTTTTTGAAAGTCATGAATTTGGAAGGCTTGTCAATGGAAATAGCATACCCTTTTTCAGAAATGTTTTTCCCCATGGAATTAAATGTAATCTCAGATCTTTCAGTTTGATTTGTACACTAGAGCCAGCCTCTGTGGGTAGAAGTGCCCCGACTGAGGCGTGAATGCTAGAGACTTCCATGAGCCATGTTTCCGACGTATAAGATGGGGCAGACAGGGAAGCAGTGGAAAGTGTTTGTTTGACTTCAGCAGATGTTAAATACTGAATCACAGTTTTGTTTAGGTCACACCCTTCCCCTTCTTTCTTGGTGTTTTCCATACCCTCTGCTCGGTGTACCAAGTTTAGTCCAGATGTCCCCTGTGCCTCCTGAGCAAGGTAGTATTGCAGAATTCATGGCAATGCATTGCTCTATCTAGAAAGAACTGTTAAAACTCAGAAGGTTAACTGGTTAGTACAGTAAAACTCTATTAGTCCGGCATCCAATGCTCCGGGACTCCTGATGGTCCGGCACCATCAGGAACCCAGAAGTGCTGGGGCAGCCGGACAGACTTCCCCCATTCAGCTGCTGCTGAAACTGACCAGCAGCTGCTGAAACTGACCAGCAGCGGCTGAATCAGGGACGCCTGGGGCAGAGCCGGACTATGGTAAGGAGGGGCTATGAGGGATCTGGGGTGGCATCCCCTCCCACCCCACTCCAGACCCCTCCTAGCCCCCCCCTTCTGATAGTCCGGTATATTTGATAATCCGGCACCCCCTGGGTCCTAAAGGTGCCGGATTGTTGGAAGTTTACTGTATTATGTTGATCATTCTTGGCTTCCTTAGCATCAGAGCAAAAGATATTTTTATAATACCAAACCTTACCTTTATATCTTTATGAATTAAAACTAATTTTAAAATCCTACTGAGCATCTCATTTATATTTTGAGATGCAGGTAAAAGTGTTTGTGTCCTCTTAAATGTATAATCCTGACTTCTGTGGTGTTTAAACCCAGTAAAAGTTACTTACATTTCCAAGCAGTTCTAATAAATTAAAATTGCATGATTGTGACTCTTTGATTGTTTTGAATAAAAATGGTGACTTGGGTTTTTGAACAGCATAATATGTATTAAGATAACTTAATTTCAATAATTATCAGTAAATTTGGTTTCATACTATTATTGTGGAGGAATACATTCAGATACATTTGTAGTTGGCAACAGATCCATTTTAGAAGGTGTAGCAGTTTGCAGTTGAGTTAAACATTTAAAATTAGGCTTGGTGCATCAGGTGATGCACTTGTCTCAAAGAGGCATATGTAGAAGAACATTGCATTCCAGTAACTTAAAATACACATGTGTAAATGTGAAAGAAATACATTACCAAATAGCGTATCTTCCTGATACAATTAAAACTCAGTTGTAGGATAAAGTAGGCAGGTATGTGGATTCAGTTTAGGAAGAATCTTTAGAAAAATCTTCAGTGATTTCTTGCGGTTTTAAACCATAACAATCCTTATGATACTGGATCCAAAATTAAAGGTGAAGATTAGAAAATGATTAGCATGCAATCTAACAAAAACGTATGTCTCCAATTTTAATATGGCTTCATAAGTTATATATTAATTTTTTGTTGCTAGGAACTGAGTGTTGTGGTTTGCTTTTGGACTCTGCTTCTTTAACATTTGAGATGAGATTAATTCCAATTGCTTTCCTACCAATTACCACTGGCTTCCTGGGCCCATCTACGGCTTCTACTCTAGAGGTTCTGTTTTGTCGTCTTTAGGGCTCGTGCTATTCGTTTCCGACAGGACAATAATGAAGCAGTTGGAGGATTTTTCTCACAAATTGGACAGTTATATATGGTTCACCATCTTTGGGGTAAGCTTCTTTGTTTCCTGCTGCACGCACTCAGCTGTCATATTGAATGAATCCTTAAAGAGGACCTATTCTGTGGGCTCATTATAACGAGACATGGAATAGTGAGAGAGAGAACCATGTTTTGATATCAACAAGGATTTTTTCACATTTATTTTGCAGTTTTAATTACTAAAGTTAAAAATACACAATAGACATTTCGTTGTCCTTCTGTAATGTCTACCAGAAGTTACAGTATAGCAGTGCAGACCTTTCTTATTGCTAGAGTCTTACTGTTTGCTTCAAGTAAAGAGAACATAATGAGTTCATTCCTGCAGTCTCTTCCCAAAGGCCGAATTCACACTAAGGCTGTAAAGGGTTAACAGGTTACCTGGTTAGCATCACTGGTGGCCTGGCTGGAGAAGCCCCACCCCGCTGTGGCACACTGTGAGGGGGGGGTGCTTTCTCCCAGCATGGTTGGAGCAGCCCACCACCCATGGCATGCCACAGAGGGCCTGGATGGAGCAGCCCCTTACCTGTGGCGTGGTGCAGCAGGCTTGTCCTGACTTGGCTAGAGCAGCTTGCAGAGCACTGGGCCAGGCTGATTTGGAACTGCTCCCCCACCCACACTGTGGGTCCCCCGGGCACAAAGGGCCCCTCCAACAGTTACACTTAATGTTTAACCAGCTAACTCTTAAAACAGGATTTTCCATCCCTGATTCATGCTGAAATGACTATGCTGGGCGATTTGATTTCCAAGGGTCAAACTGTGCCTTCCTACGAGAAGGGAAAAGTCAGGTATCTCTTCAGGTTACCTCTGCATGCTCCCCTCAAAGCCAAGAGAGTTTAACATTTTTTAATTTGCAATAGCACCCACCGTGTGCTAGGCAGTTTCCAAACTTTTCAGGAGGAGAGTCCTCCTCAGTCTAACAACCACACTGAAGAAATGTGTGCTGCAACTTTCAGACTGCAGGGCTATGCACAGGAAATTGTATTCCAACGAGGGATGTGAAAGTGTAACCATGTACACGGTTAACCAGTGAGCCTGGGTTTATTGGTTACATGCACCCTCTTCCCCAGAGGCAGCAGTGCTCGTGGGGGGCTCGTGGTTTCCTGTGCACCCCAGCTCCTATGGGAGCCACCCGCCCCTTCCCAGGCCTTTCCCTAA